TTTTTGAAAATTTAAAGATTATTACCACTCGCGATCTCGTTTTGATTTAAGTACTAAATAATGTTTATGTCACGACTTAAAACATTATTATAATTTTAAACTTAGTTAAAATCTAGCCTCGTAATTTGATATATTCAGTTTGTAAAGAGGATGGAATATGTTATCTCGATGTGGGAAGGAAACGTAGGAAATTCTCCCAAACAAAATATTAAGACTGCAATTCAAACCTACGTAATATACAGACTGACAACTTTCTAAAAGTAAGACAAGTAGTTTCAATACGAAGGTATCCAAATAATATGACGCATCTCTAAACATATTAGTAGGGGAGAAATTAGTAATCTTTTTTGCTAAAGACAAATTCTGCCTGGAAGATCCTTGGTGGTGGGATTTTTCAACTTTAAAAAAATTAAACGCCCCCCACCCCTAATTTCTTAGATGCGTTTTATAAACTTGAAACAAAATAATCGTGCAGGGTGGGTAATGATATGGCTATTTAAGATAAAAGTCACAGATACGTACCAAATAAATTCCGTGACGAATTTAAAACACACATATATATGTGTCGTCAATTTCTCAAACATAATATCTACTAGACACACATTTACAAATATACATTATCATGCACAAATGATACAAACGTTTATTCAACATGTACGCACATGAATATATATGTATAATACCTATGATGATTGCATAAGAAATTGTAGTCATAATTCAATGCCGGTTTATATGTCCATATCATTTATATTGGCAAATATTCTATCAATGATATTGAACAGTCTTTATGAATAAACATAGTAAATTTGAAACAATGCATATGTTGGACACACTACAACAACGTTGTCTCGGCGGCTGTGTTTTCATTTGAATAATGCGTCCAATATTATTTCTAAATATTTACAAAATACATGTCCGCATTTGCAATTCAGAAACATCCTTGTCGAAAATTCCTCTATGCTTTTTACGAAATGAATAAACATAAGCTAAAACTACTCGAAGCTATTTATAATAAAAATTAGAAACCTAACCGTGATAAAATTAATTACGAATACTATACAAATGTTTTAAAAAGTGTATAATAATAATGGTTGTACTAATAGTTACTTTCTTCTTTATTACTACTCATTTCGTAAAAATTCTCCACACGATACTTAGTGATCTTCCCTGAAACAGTGCCAGCGATAATGTACTGACTCAGCATTCCTCAATCCACATATAAGAAATTTAACTTTCAGATGAAAATACAACAGATAATACAATTTTATCTTTTCAAAACAATGAATACTACGCCGTGTGCGTGTAGAGAGAGAGAGAGAGAGAGAGAGAGTGAGAGGGAGGGACAGAGAGAAAGAAAGTGAGAGAGAGACTGTATCTGTCTATATTTCTGGGATGAGGTATTATGTACACTATTTACATTATTCGCTCCTCATCATTGTTGCCATATTTATTACAACGTTTCGGCCATTGTACGCTCCGATTTTCTTCAGGTGGCTGGATTGAAACCTTTATTTCGCTTACTGTGACTACTGTAGACTGATCTAGTTCCACATGCCATGTCTAATCAACAAGTTCTCAAAGTTCTCCACCTTAATCAGGTATTGAACTCACACTCTTTGGGCCTTGTCACTGGATCTAACGAACGCCTTTATCCACTGTGCCATGTATCCATAAAGACATCTATGTATGAATTTCTGGCTATTATAAGCCTAATGTCTTCAGTAACCATTTTAACAGTGCTCACATTGTTTTGCTGTTATCATTACGTTTTTACCAGAGCTCATATTGCAATTTTTGTTGTTGTTATTATAGCTTTTCTCTGGCACTCCTTATTACTGGTTCCCATATTGTATTTATGTCTTTGCTTGGTCGACTCAAGAGATTTTTGTGGCCTAGCATATGTGCTGTTTCCTTAAGTTTACGAATTTTCTAATGGTGTTCCTTGTCTATGATCTCAACATGATCCCAGAGAGGGCAGTTATCTCCCTTTTCTCTCGATATGTGGCCAGACGCGCCTGAGTTTTCCACTTCGCCTCGTGTTGAAACTTTTTGGTGTTCTTGAAGCCTTACATTAAGGGGCGGCCTGTCTCCTTTCTTTCAGCAGTTGCACGGGATAGCGTACACACAGTCTTTAGTCTTTATATATATATATATATATATATATATATATATATATATATATATCCCAACTGGGTTGGGTGTGAAAAATTATTTGTTGTTAACATTCTTTTTTCATTCGGTTTTTCCAGTTCCGAGTCCTTTTTTAAAGCTGATCGTTTTGTGTTCATTTTGTTTAGTTCTTTTTTTTGTAACAGATTTAATGTTTAGTATAGAGCTTAGAAAAAATTCACAGTGTGAGATAGGCAAGAAGTAAGGCATGTAGTAACATCAGCACGGAAAAGGGCACTCCTTTAAAGGCCAAGAAGGCCAAAAATATTTTACGTCAAGTGATAGCGATTGATGTATGAGTCGTACGATTTTTGAATGAAGCACGGGCAATGCCGGGCCATGTTGCTAGTTATATATAAAAGCATTCATGTGATATTCCTCAAGTAATTTTTACAGATATCTTCTCCGTAGAAAGAAAACAAGTTCAATATTTTTCTGTGTGGTTGTCAATAGAGCTGTCAACACCTGAGCAAAACACTTACTTTTGTGTTAAAAAATGCATTTCTCTGATATTTTAAGTAAAAGTAAGCAATATTTGTTTCAAATCAGATTAATTTAACTTTAAATCAACGGATATTCCACAAAAAAGTCCCACAAAAGCGTATCTTATGTTTGAAAAAAAGAATAAAGAAAATTAGAATGTGCTAACAGATGACTAAAAAATAGCTAAAATCAGCGACTGTTAGCAATTAAAAAAAAAACAAAACAAACTACTCCAGTCAATTTAAATTAGTTTTAAAATACAGCAACGTATTTTTATTATTGGAAATATTAAATTTAATCTATTGGATTGAAATTAGAACTAAAATAAAAATCTTTACTTTAAAACTTAGTAATCGCGTCTCTTTGTAGATACGTTCTCACAAACACATACACACACACATAAAAAAAAACACGCACACATGCATACAGGGTGCGATGGATATATTGTCGTCTAAATTACGCAAAAATCGAAATAACACTGACACTTCATTTTAACAAATATATTTACCAAAATTTCACGAAAATATCTTGAAATACTAAAGAGTAAATATATTCAATAAAATCACCATTGGCTTCAACCAGAGCTTTAAGACGATTTCGGAATCTCCTGCATCTCCTCTAGACGGTTTATTTGTTTAAGTTGGTGAATGTTGCCATAATCCTTGCCTTCAGTTCATCTTTGGTGTTACAAGGAGTTTTTTTGGTCACTCGCTTAACTACGCCCCACACATAATAATCAATAGAGTTGCAGTCTGGGGAGTTAGCTGACCAGATATAAGGGATGACGTGGTTGTAGAAATTGTCTAACAGCTATGACTGGGTTCTCCTATTTGTGTGACATGGTGCATAGTCCTGTTTCTAGATATAGGGTCTTCCAGCAGACACCTTAGTGACCCAGTACAGTACTACCTCTTCAAGGCCCTAGATGTAGGCATTCGTGCTGATTCTGACGCCCCTTGAAAAGATGAATGGAGTTCCATGTGCCATGTTTTTAATGGATGTCAGTTATCAGTTATCTCTTGGTAATTTCACTCTGAAATTTCTCCACTGCCTTGACCAGGTATTGTACTCACACTCTTTGGGTCTTGTCACTGGATCTAACCAACGCCTTTATCCACTGTGTGGAACTAGAAGAGTCTAGGCAAGTGAGCGAAATAAAGGGTTCAGTTCGACATTGCAACCACCTGAAGAAGGCCAGAGCGTACAACAGCCGAAACGTTGTAATAAATATGGCGACAATGATGAGGACAATAGTCCGAATAATATAAATAATGTACATAATACCTCATCACAAAAATAAATAAATATATATATATATATATATATATATATATATATATATATATAAGGCAGAATGTGTATATGTGTGTGTGTGACGAATGCACGGCCGCAATTTTTGACGGATTTGCACCAAAATTTACATGCGCCTGCTCCAAGTTAGCGGGAAGGCCAAGACCAAAGTTGCATTTCCCAACTCTCATCATTAGTGGAAATAATCGATTTTTTCATGCTTCTTTTCATGTAGTTTGCGGCCATTTGTACTGGCTAGAGTGAGAGCCTATAGCTGGCTGCCACGAATAGGCAGGAAGATTTTATTGGCCAGCGTGAGAGCCAACAGCTCACTGACACGGGTGTTAACTAGCATGCTAGTATGCCAAAAAAATTTGATAGCTGCATTCGTCACAAGTGGGAAAAATTTAAATCTGCATGGCACTTTACTCCAATTGGCTCATTAGCTTGTTTAAACTCAACGTTGATTCTGATTCCGCAGAACTAGGTTCGGTGTGAAAAAAGTATTTGTTGTTAACATTCTTTTTTCATTCGGTTTTTCCAGTTACGAGTCCTTTTTTAAAGCTGATCGTTTTGTGTTCATTTTGTTTAGTTCTTTTTTTTGTAACAGATTTAATGTTTAGTATAGAGCTTAGAAAAAATTCGCAGCGTGAGATAGGCAAGAAGTAAGGCATGTAGTAACATCAGCACGGCAACGGGCTACCCCTTTAAAGGCAAGGAAGGGCAAAAATATTTTCAGTCAAGTGATAGCTATTGCTGTATGAGTCGTAAGATTTTTTAATCAAGCACAGGCAACGCCGGGCTATGCTGCTAGTATATATATATATATATATATATATATATATATATATATATATATAATATATATATATAATAAGATTCTATAGATTTTAAATATATATATATTAATAAGATTATATATATTTTAAATATATATATATATATATATATATATATATATTAATAAGATTCTATAGATTTTAACCTTTTTGAAGGGAAACGATTAATTTCATCCTTATTGTTACCATTGATATTGTCTAATGAGTGTGATCCCCACTATGTACTCTTTACTCATCGCTTTTTGTTATAGTAAGGTAAAATGTAAAAATACTAATGTCATCTTACCCATTAAAAGGGTCGTTGTCTTGGCTTTGTAGTCAAACGCACATCTGCTTCTAATGATATGTTTACGATATCGATTGAATCGGTCAATGTTATTACGTACCAGGGCGAACAGAAGCAAACACTCAGGACAAATAGAGGCCAAACCAAGTTGCTTAGAATTGAATTAAAAAGACGCTGACTACTTGGCTACTCAGAGAGTTTGAATATGGTTTTCAGGCACCGGGTCTCCGAACGCCTGTGATTAGCGTAGTAAAGTAACAATTGCTTCTACCATTCATCATAATCTTTGACAAGAAACGCCACTTGAGTCACACCCTTGCAACGCGTCGCTTCCTTGGTTTTGTCGCGTTTTGTCCACTGTAATTTTGGTAATCATTGGCTTCTTTAGAAACTCGGATGCGTAGAGACAGGAAAAAAAAAAGATGGGGTTAGAGATGAGGCGAAATTGCAATCTTTTCCTGGGTCATTTCTTTGTTGCTTTGTATTGAGATTTATCTCTTACTTATTTTTACTCGGTGTCTCTTTCAAAAGATTTTTTCGCATTTTTTTGTTTCTTTCTTTCTCCCTTTCTTTCTTTCTTTCTTTCTTTCTTTCTTTCTTTCTTTTGTGTTTGCCTTTTCAGTTTGTGTCGTTTTCAAAAGATTTTCTTCTATTTTTCTTCCTTTCTTTCTTTCATTCAATCTTTCTTTCTTTCCTTCTTTGGTATTTCTCTTTCCATTTGGAATATCTTTCAAATTTTCCTCTTTCTTTTTTCTTTGTTATTTTTCTTTCTTTCTTTTCATTCAATGTAACTTTCAATGTAACGTTCTCTTTCCCTTTCCTTCCATTTTTCTTACTTTCTTTCTTTCTTTCTTTCTTTCTTTCTTTGGTGCTTATTTTCGTTTGGAATCTGAAAAACTTTTCCTTTTTTTATTCATTTTTTCTTTATCCTTTTTTCTCTTTTTTCTTCCATTATTTTTTTTCAGAGGATCATTCAAAAGGCTTTCTTTCATTTGCTTTCTCCTTTGCTATCTTTCTTTCTTTCTCTCTCTCTTTCTTTCTTTCTTTCTTTCTTTCTTTCTTTCTTTCTTTCTTTCTTTCTTTCTTTCTTTCTTTCTTTCTTTTTCTTTCTTTCTTTCCCCTTATTTTACAGTGATTTCTAAAAACTAGAACTAATTAATTAATTAATTAATTCTTTCTTTCTTTCTTTTTTTTCTTTGGTATTTGTCTTTTCATTTGGAAAATCTTTCAAATTTCTTCCTTATTTTTCTTTGTTATATTTTCTTTCTTTTCATTTAATGTATCTTCCACAAAATTGTGTTTCCTTTTCCTTCATTTTTCTTTCTTTCTTTCTTTCTTTCTTTATTGTTTTTTTTTTATTTGCAATCTGTTTGAAAAGCTTTTCCTTTTTTCTTATTTATTCTTTCTTCATTCTTTTTTTTATTTTTCTTCCATTACTTTCATTCACAGGATCATTCAAATGGTTTTCTTTCATTTTCTTTCTTCCTTTTTTACGTTCTTTCTTTGGTGGTTTCCTTTCTTTGAGAATCTCTTTCAAAAATATCTGTCTATATTTCTCAGACGTGGTATCGTAATTATTTACATCATTTACATTGTTAGAGCTGTTCGAAATTCCAGTCACTTGAAGAAGGCCAGAGCGTACAACGGCCGTAACGTCGTGAATATGAAAAAAAAAAGATGAAAACAACAGTCTGAACAATGTAAATAGTGTAAACTCTTTCAAAAGGTTACTTTTTTATTTATTTTTCTTTCTTTTTATTCTTTCTTTTTTCTTTCTTCTTTTTTTTTCATTCAAAATCTCTTGCAAAGATTTTTCTCCAATCTGGTTTCTGTTAATTCAAAATCTCTCTTTCAGGGTGATTTTTTTTAATATGTTCTATTTTCTTACAACATAGTAGGATGAGTCAAGCAGGTACCTACTAGAGCGTTACAGAAAATGGAATATTTTTCCAGCACCGTTAGCAATGGATCTATCTATCTATCTATCTATCTATCTATCTATCTATCTGTTATGTTAAATAATAATACAAGATGTGGAAAGTGTTAGTATGACTATGAGTCTGGTTTGGAGTGAACTACTATCGGCTCGATTCGATTCGGTATCTAGCAGACGAGGGTTGCGTGTGGCACAAGGCCGAGTTTAACGTGGGTTTCCAGAGACCGTAGGCTCGGCCAAAAAAAAATGCCCGTAGAACCCGTATAAACGGAATCGGGTTGGTCAACCTCCCCGAACGAGACTTTGCCCTTCGGCGGAGCCTCATCCTGGTTCCTCTCTGCTCAGAGGAAGAGGGTTCGACCGTCAAGCCGAGCATCTCGGCTTGATTCGGTATCTAGCCCCCCCCCCCACGAGGGTTGCATGTGGCACAAGGCCGAGTTTATCGTGGGTTTCCCGAGACCGTAGGCTCGGCCAAAAATGCCAGTAGAACCCGTATAAACGGGATCGGTTTGGTCAACCTCCCCGAAAGAGACTCTGCCCTTCATCGGAGCCTCGTCCGGGTTCCTCTCTGCTCAGAGGAAGAGGGTTCGACCGTCAAGCCGAGAAGCTCGGCTTGATTCGGTATCTAGTCACCTCCCCCACGAGGGTTGCATGTGGCACAAAGCCGAGTTTATCGTGGGTTTCCCGAGCCCGTAGGCTCAGCCAAAAAATGCCCGTATAACCCGTATAAACGAGATCGGGATGGTCATTTTCCCCGAACGAATTTCTGCCCTTCGGCGGAGCCTCGTCCGGGTTCCTTTCTGCCCAGAGGCAGAAAGTTCGACCGTCAAGTCGAGAAGCTCGGCTTGATTCGAACCTCTCTCTTGAGAGGCGTAGTATACATAGTGTTAGGAAGAGTTCATTCTGTAGTTATAGGTAAAGGACCCATGACACTATCTGTGTTGCAACCTAGGAAAGGCTACTGAATGAGGAATAACCGAAATGAAGGTTGGAAATGAAATGGTAATCTTTATAACAACAACAAAATACAATACTCGCCAGCGGCGTGAAGTAGGTAAACCACTGCTAGTTGTCGACTACTTAGGCAGCATATTACCCCCACTTACAATAGTGTCCAACGTATTTATGAGGATCGGGACATACCCATTAGTGTTCATAGGTACAGTATACAACATATACAAGTTCGCTTGAGATCTGGGGAGGTCGTAAATCCAAAAAGTCATTGATGAGAAAGAATGGTTTTCTTCTATCATTTTTCCAAATTCTCTTTCTTTGCTATTTTTATTTTTTTGGATATGCTTTACCATTCTTTTTTTTTCCGGTTACATTCTTGAGTTTTTATTCTTTTTCTGTTTTTCCTATTTTGAACCTATTTGCATCACTATACTTCAAATTCTTTATTTTACTTCATTCATTCTTCGCTTTCATTTTTCATCCCCCCTTTTTTTCTTTTATTTCTCTTTCTTTCAATCTTCCTTTTTTGTATTTTGATTGTACTTTCTTTACATCATTGTTTTTTTAAATATTTCCGTTATATAAATTCCTTCTTTCGCTTTTCCTTCTTTAAATACTAAACATGAAATATATTCAATATAATCATCCTTAGCTTCAACCAGGGCCTGCAGACGACTTTGGGATCTTCTGTATCTCTTCTGGACGGTCTCCTTGATTACTCCAATACTCCTTGCTTTTAGTTCATCATTGGTGTTATAAGGAGTAATGAATAGCGGCTTGAATTGAGGAATCGGAGAGCCGAGTTCGAATTCCAGTCGAATCCATTACATTCACTTACGTGCTAATACCCTTGGGAAAGATGTGAATCCTTTTCTTCTCCCTCCAGCTATGAGTAAATAGCAGGACAGACTGGGTTCTATAGCCTTGGATGGCAACTGGTCTAGGAGAAGGAAAACTCTGAATTCAAAACCTGCGGAGGGTGAATGGAGTCTCTCTGAGCCTTGGTTGGCAATCCATTTAGTGATGGTGTCACGATAAAAACACCCTTGATAGCCCTAGCGAAGCATCAATTATTCAGCTATTTGACAAGATTATGAACTACACCAATCAAAGTATTAGCTATGACAGATAAGGAATACTGGAAAGGTGTAGTGAGTTCAATCTCGGCTGAGGCCGCAAGATGATGATGATGTTATAAGGAGTTTTGTTGGTCACTCAATCAACTGCGCCCCAAACATAATAATCAAGGGATTTCAGGCTGTTGAGTTAGGTGGCCAGATGTAAGGAGTGATGTGGTCGCAGAAATTGTCTGACAGCCATATCTGGGTATACCTAATTTTGTGGCATTGTACGGAGTCCTATTGCCAGATATAGGGTTTTCCAGCAGCAACTTTCTTGCCCCAGGACAGTACTACTTCCTCCAGGCACTTGATGTAGGCCTTCGTGCACTGTGCCATTTTGGAAAGATGGATGGTGTCATAACATCACCATCACATGATTACTCCAAACGTTCACTTTTTATGTATATTTATTTTATGAAATTCCTTCTTTCGTTTTTCCTTCTTTTATATTTTAAGCTTTTTTTTATTTTTATCATTTCAAGGCCGGTTTCTTCTTGACGTTTTTTCGATATTTTTTATTATGTTGCTTAAAAAATTGCTTTCAAATTCTTTCTTTGCTTTTGGCGTTTTCAATTGACATTTCAAATATATTAATTACTTCTTCAATTTCATCTTTCAAATTCTTCTTTCTCCAGTTGATCTGACGTGCCATCATGGTCCATCTGTCACCTTTTCATTTATTTACCCCTCACTCTGTGTCTCAAATGAAATGGATTTCGACGTGACGGGAGGTGAGTTCTCTTCAAATCCATTCGATTATGGTTTGTGATATTATCACTAATTACATGGCATCTCGACTTCAGTCATTTTCCCATCGCTATAACCTGTTTTTTTCTGTCTTTTCTATAAATATTTTCATGGCATTTGTTCTAGTGAGCTCTTTTTCTTGATACCTCAAGCGCATGAATTTTAACATATACTCGATTGGCAACTAGGTCTCCTCGATTTACCGGTGAAATAGCGAGATGCGATTGAAAGTTCTATTCTGATACAGTAGAATCCCTCATATACGTAACCCTTCCTATCCTGAGTACCTCATATCCTGAGTATCTCATATCCGGAGTTCCAAGTATCCGGAATCACGCATATCCGGACATCATTTTGATGTGTATATTTGAAATATTTGGGTAACTGATTTGAAATTTATGTTTTTCAGAAAAATTACTTTGGATAATTGCTTATGCTTATTTCACCCTACTGGCTTGTATTGGTGCAAAAGATGATGGGAATAAGGGGAAAGGATGACAATGAGACACATCTGCAACAAGATAGCGACGAGATGCAGGATTGTCATGAAACCTGGACTGAAATTGAAAAAAGCTATTGAAAAGGTTGTCAGTTTTATGGAAAGAAAGCCAGTATTCAGCTATGACGAATGCAACAAGGCACACAGAGTTAAAAAGTGACATTCGTTTAAAAAATTTCAAGAATAAAAGCAAAATGAAATGCGGGAAAATTTGAGAATGATATTAGAATAGAAAGAATCATCATGCAAGAGCAATTAAAAACTCCTCGTTACATTATTTGTTTTGCATACGTGGCATACTTAATTTAACGAATTTTCATTAACATTACTTAATTTATTCATTTTTTTCTTAAAATCACTTCTGTTATATTTCAATCACCATTAGCTTATTTTGTTTACTATAAAACATTGAAAATAAATTTTAAACCTGATTTCAGTTCTTTTATTTTAATCTAAACATAACCCCTCATAACGGGACTTTATTACCAATTCGTAATATCCGGAAGGCCTTCTTAGTCCGGTTGTCAGGGATTCTACTGTATAAAGAAATATCAGCGATCGTCTTGTTCGTTTTAGTGTCACCCATATCCGGAATCCCTGACATCCAGAATCCATCATATCCGGACTTTAGAACCAATTCCTCATACCCGGAAGATCTTGTTAGTCCGTTTGTCAGGGATTCACTGTAACTGTATTTTACTATATCTTCATATAAGTCCAACATTAATTACCATTTTCTTTCTTCCTGAATCCTGACCGTTTATGGACTTTTCTTGTCATTTTTTTTTTATTCTACCAACAGAGAGACGGAGAAACATAGAAAGAGCAAAATATACAGAGGGGTATAGAAACAGAAAGAGAGATAGAGGGATAGAAACAAAAAACTGGATAGAGAGAGAAAGATATGTATGGCAAGAGAGAGTGAGTAAGAGAGTGATAGAAACAGATAGATATATAGAAAGAGGCATAGAAAGAGACAGAGATAGAGGGAGAAATACGAATAGATAGATAGATAGATAGATAATGGAAGAGGGAAACAGAAAGAGAGAATGAACAAATATAGAGCGATAATAAGAGAGGGACCGGGACAAATAAAAAGGGATATCGAAACAGCGAGAATTATAAATATAGGTAGATATATAGAGAGGTTGAGAAAGAGGGAGAGAGAGAGCGAGATGAAAAAGGCAAGATAGATAGATAGATAGATAGATAGATAGATAGATATGAACAGTCGCTGAGAGATAGATATGAACAGTCGTTGAGAGATAGATACATACATACATAGATAGATAGATAATGAACAGTCGCTGATAGATAGATAGATAGATAGATAGATAGATAGATAGATAGATAGATAGATAGATATAAACAGTCACTGAGAGATAGATACATAGAGAGATAATGAACAGTCGCTGATAGATAGATAGATAGATAGATAGATAGATATGAACAGTCGCTGAGAGATAGATATGAACAGTCGCTGAGAGATAGATAGATAGATAGATAATGAACAGTCGCTGATAGATAGATAGATAGATAGATAGATAGATATGAACAGTCACTGAGAGATAGACAGACAGATAGATAGATAGATAGATAGATAGATAGATAGATAGATATAAACAGTCACTGAGAGATAGATACATAGAGAGATAATGAACAGTCGCTGATAGATAGATAGATAGATAGATAGATAGATAGATAGATAGATAGATAGATATGAACAGTCGCTGAGAGATAGATATGAACAGTCGCTGAGAGATAGATAGATAGATAGATAGATAGATAGATAATGAACAGTCGCTGATAGATAGATAGATAGATAGATAGATAGATAGATAGATAGATAGATAGATATGGACGGACTGAGATAGATAGATATGAAATGTCACTGTGGTGTATGTAAATAAATATGAACAGTTTCTGACAGATAGATAGATAGATAGATAGATAGATAGATAGATAGATATGTATGTGTAGTTTGTATTAAATCTTCACTCGACCTATATAGAAACATCTCGAACTACTGCGACTTTTGATTATACCTCACTGGAAACTTTCATGTATCTCTAAATTTGATCAACGCTGTTTCACTATTTGCTCCACACGATATTTACGTCTGCGTTACATCGGAGCATTCACGGTCAGAAGTGCTAAATTCGTGTCTGACTGCTTAAACTTAATCAGCGCCGTTGGTCAACGGCCGGCAGGTCCGAGCGATAATTGCAAGCCACACCGTCAAATAAAATGAATTGGCCGATGAGAACAGAGGCCACATATTAAATACCATTCAGCTGGTTAGCGCTCAACGATCCTGGTGCCTGGTTGGTCATTCATGGCGAGAAGTATTAGCATAACGGGGAAGAGGTAGAAAGAAGAAGAAGAAGAAGAAGAAGAAGAAGAAGAAGAAGAAGAAGAGGAAGAAGAAGAAGAATAGAAAAGAAAGGGAAGAATTTTAGAATAATGAAGAACAAGAAAAAGGTGAATGAGAAGAAGAAGAAATTTAGTTAATGGGAATAATAATAATAATAATAATAATATGCCACTTCCTGCAGACTGCAATGTATCTTTGAAGATCTTCAAAAAGCTATCAAAATACAAGGACCTGAAATCGAAATCTCAAAAATGTGGCACATGTGAATATCAACAATCACTGTTGTAGTTGGAGACCTCGGATTTATTGGAAAAGATTCCAGAAGACTAATTGAAGGAATCCCTGGTAGCCCATACCTTAAAGAAATACAAAAAAATTATTCTCACGAGTACAGCCCACACCGTACGAACGGATTTATATATGTAAAATATGAATTGTTCTTTTGTTTTGTTTTTTAAATTGCTCAGTGTGAAATGTCATGATGCCATTTCTGACTTTAGGTCTCTTGAAGGGACCCGGAAAGAAATGAGTACACACGAGAAATCAAAGGAAATAAAATAATAATAACAATTGCTAGTAATATATTTATATATATATATATATATATATATATATATAGTCATCCACAGACAGATTGTTTCGCTGTATCACAGCTCACCAATGTGGCTAGGCATTCGATTATTCCAAGCTGGGATAGAACCCGATCGATTTGGCATTAGTCAGATATTCTACCCCCAAGCTATCGGCGCACGGCGGTGAGAAAGGGAAATTTTAACGTCTTTACTATACCAAAACGTCGGAGGCTAGGAGAGCTTGATTTGAATAGAAGAGCATTGCATTAGCAGCAGCAGCAGCCACTGTTTACAAAATCACCCCTTCCTCTCCGAGAACTCAATCGAATTATTTCGAGAGCATAAATAGTCATACAAAAACACACACATACAAACAAACGTATATATATATATATATATATATATATATATATATATATATATATATATATAAAAATATATGAAAAAAAATATACGAAAAAACAAACAAAATCCTTATATGCAATTATGCTGTTTCAATGTTAACATGTCAACGTCGGACGTTTCGGTCTAATAAACCATCTTCAGGACATATTCATAAAATATAAGTAACATTATCAATTCAACATGACAAAGACGATGGACATAAGAACAATTAAAACAGCATAATTGCATATAAAATTTTTTCCGTATATGTTTTTCTTCATACTGTCGAATCTATATCCATATATTTGCTTACATATATATATATATATATATATATATATATATATATATATATAGAGAGAGAGAGAGAGAGAGAGAGATAGATAGATAGATAGATAGAGAGAAAGAGAGATAGACAGAGTACTGCGTATATACTAGTTACCCATTATTCAGTTTATCAAAGAATTAAAAAAAATGATTTCGGTTTTGGTTAATGAAGGTTTACAGGCAAATTGTTATTTTTATTGACGACATTTTACATAAAATTGTAATTCAAAATGACAACTCATTGCTTTTACCATAGCACTTAATCTCCTCTCATCCGAACTGAATGACTTCTTCACCACCTCTTCGTTCAAATTATAGCCCGACGTCTTTCAGCTCAGACGTACTTGAGAATGAAATACATAAAACTTTTCTGTTCAAGATGGGTCATATACCAAACTCAATAGGATTAATGTCACAGCTTGATAGCGGTTAAAATGACTTGTCAAAAAATCCACGGAAATGTCTCTTGCGTCTGTTCTGCGTCAAATTTGCAGTCTGTGTGAAGCGCATCTGTCTCCAGTGTTTGCTGGTGCACTTTGCTTTTTGCTTACATTCATTTATCAATGAATACCAAGGGCGATTTTTTTTTCACTATGTGTGTTTGGTAAAATCTAGTTAGCAAACATTGTTCCTGTGCAGCAAGAATAAAACCTTCGGTGTCAGCTTTTAACTACGAAACCACTGATAGGCTACATCGTGCAGGTCTAAAAGGTTAAATACAATCATTACTATATATATATATATATATATATATATATATATATATATATGTTATGGGATCTTACCATAATAATAATAATAATAATAGACTATTCCATATTTAATAAATACTGCGCCTCAGGAGTAGGCAAGGAGTCAGTAGTTCAAGTCGAGTCAAGAGTCGAGTCAGAGGCAGTCCGAAACAGAGTCGCGTTCAGACAATTACTGCAAGACATTTGAATAGTGATACTGGTCGAGACTACATTGTTCTCTCTACTAAATCTGATTGTTCAGACTAACACTTCTACTTCTCTGTATATATTCCTGTTTGTAATATAACTGTGTTATTCCATACCTGTGTTCGAGTTTCTTTATTGGTTCTACTTTGGACTATCACCGTGGTACAAGGAACCGGACCATAACAATATATATATATATATATATATATATATATATATATATATATATATATATATATATATATAATAAAAAGGCTTAAACACTAATATTCCATGGTCATGATTTATTCCATTGGAATCGTAAATACGATCCAATTCATCAGACCTACAAATTCAAAGAAAATTCAAGAAAAAACAACTCCGGAAATAAAAACAGAATTTAGAGAGAGTGTAAGTATGAGGGGTAACATACTAGAGAAGGAGGGAGATTAAAACTTAACAGAGAGAATTTTAGGAGAGGTGAGTGGAAGGGGTGTAAGTAAGAGAAATATGAATGTTGTCGGATGTCTAATGCATAAATATACATTTCGTGGTGACATACACACACCATAGACGATCTAATGTAGAAGATCAGAATAAGAGGGAGGGAAAGACGAGGTGGGGGAGAGAGATGGGGCGAAGGAAAGTAAAATTGAACGACGTTTACTGAAAGTGCTGCTGTGTAATTGAGAAAATTTGACAAATTTAATATCGACTACAGGTTACAAATCAAATATAAACATATAAAAAATAAAAAATAAATATAACGATTATATATATATATATATATATATATATATATATATATATATATATATATATATAGTCTATTAAAATTAGAATTAGTCTCATACCATCAATGTGTGTATGGTCCATGTGAAGTCCAGACTATGGTTCCGTTTTTTTAGGACATGAGTGTATTCTCTTTTATCGAAAATTCTTTATTTCAATCATTTATGTACGTATCTTTCTATATAACGATAACACCTCGGCCACTATAACTCCAATTTTAATCTCCTTTGTGTAGCCGTTATCCCACAATGCACATCATCATGCACACATTTTAAAATATTTTTTCGTGCCGTTTGCAATAACGCCGCTATCCATCGTTAATTTCTTTATAGGGTCTTTCAGCTTTGCAATAATTACTTGACCTGTTTTTTTCCTTTTCTCTCTGCATTCTTGCTTAATATCGGATTATGTAGAGTTTCTGTTGCTAATCTTTATAGATGTATGTCAGTTCCAATCCAAGGTAATATTTCTTCATCCGGGATTTCTATTTTTTTATCTTTATTATATTCTAAACTTGACAGCTCATCGACACGTGGCATTGTATTTCCTTTCACATACTAAATGTCAAAATCATATGCCATTAATTTTATTACCCACCTTAGAATTCTGGAGGAAGAAGCATTTAGTAGCCTTTTTTCTAGAGTTAAAAAATAAACTCTAGAGGTTTATGTTCCGACTTTGTTAGGAACTTCTTATCTAATAAGAATTGTCGAGATCTGTCTGTACTCCAATGACTCTTTACAATATTTGAATAATTTATCTCCTCTGCTGTCAATCTTCTTGAAAGGTACATTATTAGATGGCCTTCTTGCGATAAAATTGGGGACAATGCATTTTGCTTTGAGTTTGTTGGAACTCGATATTCTTTTTCGGTAGTTCAACAAATGTCTCTCTATTTTGTTAACTATTGTAAAAATTATCCAATCGTAAAAGGGATTCTAATTCTTTTTTATTGGTATATATTTAGATATAGATAGTAGATATATTTAAATAGAGTATATATATTTAGGTATAGATAGTAGATAGACTAGATATATTTAGATATAGATAGTAGATATAGTAGGTATATGTAGATATAGATAGTAAGATATATTCAGATATATTTAGATATAGATAGTAGATAAAGGTATATGTATATAGATAGAAGATATATATTTTAGATATAGATATTAAACATAGTAGATATATTTAGATATAAATAGTAGATATAGTAGATATCTGTAGATATAAATAGTAGATATAGTAGATATCTGTAGATAAATAGTATAAGAGAACCCGGATATAAGAGAAACCCCCGATATAAGAGAGATTTTCTCTGGTCCCAAATTAGAGCCCATACTTACCTAAACAAAATAGACCAAACCCGGATATAAGAGAAACCCGGATATAAGAGACTTTTTCTCCGGTCCCGACAACTCTCTTATATCCGGGTTACACTGTATATTAAGATATATTTAGATATAGATGATAGACATAGTAGATATATTTAGATAAAGATGGTAGATATAGTAGATATATTTAGATGTAGATAGTAGATATATTTAGATATAGATAGAAGATATAGTAAATATATTTAGATATAGATAGTAGATATATTTAGATATATGTAGATATAGATTCCTCTGAAACTTTCTTAATTAACTTTGGATCT